TAGATATTGTTTAAGCATAAATTTTAAATATAATAGTTATAAAAAATTTTTTTATAAAATTTTGTCCATTTTTCTATAAAACTATAAAATATAAAATGATTTCACTGAATAATTTTTTATACTTGCCAAATTATTAGTATAAAAATATTAAGAAGTGATTCAATATGTTAAATGTTATCGATATTACTAAAGTAAGAACTTTTAATAGTAATGATAATTAAAAGATTATCACTTTTATATATATATATTTGAAGTCATTCAGAAAACATGAAACATATTCGAATATGAAACAAAATTTACTGTTTAATATCTTCTGTTTTACGTTCGAGTATATTTTATGTTGTTTCATATTCGAATATGTTTCATGTTTTCTGAAATAAATAAAAAAATTAATTAAATGTAGTACTTATACACTAATACTAACAACAATTATAATAATACTAACAAATAATAAAATTTTATGCTCATAAATGAAAATAGGTTTGAATTTATTATTGAAATTTTAATAGTTATGGGCTGCAATTTGAAAAAATTGTAGATCTATAAATTCCCACTCTCGTCCGTGTGTCTGTCTTTCCTTAATCTCGAGAACAGAGTTATATACCTGAAAGACGAGACCAGATATGGACACCGTAGGGACAGAAAGCCTCAATTAACTATATAAGACCTTTCGATACAAACCAAAAGTTACGTTATTTCAATTCAAAAAATTTCCCGTAAAGATGTTAGATAATGGCCGGCAGGATATTGTTGCTAACAGGAAAAGTATGATGTACCGGAGCAAGCCACTACTAATTTGAGGTGGAGAGCATACATTTTAAATTAAATAAATTAAAAATATGATTAAAATTTGCAGCCTGGCATTGTGATGCCACAATAAATAATAGCTCGTTAATTTTTCATTATTCTGCTTTAAATATTTTTTACATAATGTAAACACTATTTCAATATGCATTTTGAAATTAATTGATTTTGTTAATTTATCAATGAACTTATAAATTTTTTTATTTATTAAACAACTATAAACTTGATATAAAATTTTCTATTCTTATTTAAGGTTAGATTCTTTAATAGTATGAGTTATAAATAAACCTACACGTTCTTCGATGAAACTGAGTAGTAGTTTCAGCCTCGATTCATTTTCACATTTTAGCACTTCACCGTTTCAAAACGAAATTCCGTTAGACCAACTTAAAACTTGCTTGAAATTTTTGATGCAATATGTTTTATTTTCTAGCAATTTTATTGCTTTGAATCGTATCATTTCCACTCTAACTGTCACTCGATTTCATCTTTTTTTGAACTCAAAAATATTTGTGTCAAACTTATGAAAGGAAATAAGAACGGCAGGTTTTTCAATTTAGTTTTTAAATTCGTCTATATCTTTTTATTAATAAGGTTTTTCTTTTGTAGTTTAATCATATTACGCAACATTTTCTTAAATCTTTTCGCTTCATTTATAAAACTGTAGGTTTAAAATTTAAATTGTAAGTTTGGTCTTTTAGGTATTACTATTAAATATAAATACATTTATATTTTATTTTTAATTTATTTTTGTAAAATTATCTCAAACGAACTGTTTTTGCCTTTTTATATAGCCTATCAGATTTATTTTATGGGAGAAAATGCTTCTCAACAAGCGTACCTTTTTCATAAAACATTGGTAAATATTATTTGTGGAAATAATAAATATAAAAGTTACGAAAAATGTTTTCATTTGAAAAATTATTCATGTATCCAGATTTATTTTTATTTCAAACTATAGAGCAATATTTTATAACGCATACGCACGCACATAACATAAATAATTTAGCAGGTAATAATTATAAACTGATTATAAATTTATTAGCAATTAAAAATCTTTAATGACAAATTTTACTGTAATTTAAATGTTTCTAATAACCGATATAATTTATCTATAAATGTTTATTTGTTTTATGATAATATTTTATCCACGGCAGATATATATCTTTTAAATTGTAACTATTAATACAAGTTTGGCGATATATTGCTAACATTAAACTCGACACATTAAGTTTAATGGAAGTAAATATGTAATACATCAAAATATTCAATAATAGTTTGAATAATAATTTATAGATAAATAACTTATGCTATGTATATTCTATTATACATATGTTATGCTATTTTTTTATTTTTATATTCAAAAATTTTTATGTTTATCGAAATAAAACGAGAAAATGTATTATGTCGGAGAAAGACTTCATACATAAAATAAACATTATATTGACTGTGAATAAAATTTATATTATATTAAAGCTGTATTATAATAGAAGTGAGTCGATTGAGTTTATATGTGGTATATACTGTATGTACTATATCTTTTACACATAACATATTAATATACAGTTGTCCACAAAGTTGTCCAAAGTCCACTTTATATAAAATTTAAAATTAAATTATTCAATGGGATCGGTTATTTAGTTAAAAATTGAATTAAAAAATATAACTATAATTCAAAATTTTTTTTTTAATTTTTAGAATTATAGTTATATTTTTTAATTCAATTTTTCCGCTTTATATAATATATTAAATTTAAGTACTGTACATTTATTATATTGACGTAATTTAACTAACATTTTAACAGGTGTAATTTGTTTTACGTGTAAAGGATGCGATTATCGCTCCAAACCAAAATTGTCTTTATTGATCCTTACAAACGATCATAATTTTTATGACTTTTTAAACAGGAATAACAAAGATACTTTGTATAAATGTATAAAAATATGTATAATGAATATAAACGTGTTATAACGGCTCTACTGTTATTTTATTAAGTCATGAGCGTTTCTTTAGATATTATCGTCGTAATTAAATTTTTGTAAATGAATTATTTTAAATATTCAAAATTTATTTGAAAGAGCTAAGATTAAATTAAATTATNATATAAATACATTTATATTTTATTTTTAATTTATTTTTGTAAAATTATCTCAAACGAACTGTTTTTGCCTTTTTATATAGCCTATCAGATTTATTTTATGGGAGAAAATGCTTCTCAACAAGCGTACCTTTTTCATAAAACATTGGTAAATATTATTTGTGGAAATAATAAATATAAAAGTTACGAAAAATGTTTTCATTTGAAAAATTATTCATGTATCCAGATTTATTTTTATTTCAAACTATAGAGCAATATTTTATAACGCATACGCACGCACATAACATAAATAATTTAGCAGGTAATAATTATAAACTGATTATAAATTTATTAGCAATTAAAAATCTTTAATGACAAATTTTACTGTAATTTAAATGTTTCTAATAACCGATATAATTTATCTATAAATGTTTATTTGTTTTATGATAATATTTTATCCACGGCAGATATATATCTTTTAAATTGTAACTATTAATACAAGTTTGGCGATATATTGCTAACATTAAACTCGACACATTAAGTTTAATGGAAGTAAATATGTAATACATCAAAATATTCAATAATAGTTTGAATAATAATTTATAGATAAATAACTTATGCTATGTATATTCTATTATACATATGTTATGCTATTTTTTTATTTTTATATTCAAAAATTTTTATGTTTATCGAAATAAAACGAGAAAATGTATTATGTCGGAGAAAGACTTCATACATAAAATAAACATTATATTGACTGTGAATAAAATTTATATTATATTAAAGCTGTATTATAATAGAAGTGAGTCGATTGAGTTTATATGTGGTATATACTGTATGTACTATATCTTTTACACATAACATATTAATATACAGTTGTCCACAAAGTTGTCCAAAGTCCACTTTATATAAAATTTAAAATTAAATTATTCAATGGGATCGGTTATTTAGTTAAAAATTGAATTAAAAAATATAACTATAATTCAAAATTTTTTTTTTAATTTTTAGAATTATAGTTATATTTTTTAATTCAATTTTTCCGCTTTATATAATATATTAAATTTAAGTACTGTACATTTATTATATTGACGTAATTTAACTAACATTTTAACAGGTGTAATTTGTTTTACGTGTAAAGGATGCGATTATCGCTCCAAACCAAAATTGTCTTTATTGATCCTTACAAACGATCATAATTTTTATGACTTTTTAAACAGGAATAACAAAGATACTTTGTATAAATGTATAAAAATATGTATAATGAATATAAACGTGTTATAACGGCTCTACTGTTATTTTATTAAGTCATGAGCGTTTCTTTAGATATTATCGTCGTAATTAAATTTTTGTAAATGAATTATTTTAAATATTCAAAATTTATTTGAAAGAGCTAAGATTAAATTAAATTATATAATTTTATATAAAAATTTACTTTTTGTACGTTTCGCACAAGATATAGATAAACTTCTATGATATATTACTTCACAAACTAATGTAAGATTTAGAAAATTAATAACTTAAATGAAAAATAAAATAAAACATGGGCTTATTAAATAAAATTTAAAAACTTTTTTAATATTGAGGTATTATTTTAAAATGTATATTATATTAGTTAATAATTTTTTATTTAACATTAGAAGTTATTAGAATTTTGCATGTTATTATCAAATTATCAAATAGCTTACGTTAAAAGTAAAAATATAGTTTTAAAAACATGAAAAAAACGAATATGTAATTATATATAATCAATTACACTCATCTTTTTTACATACTAAATTAAATTACTTCAGTATAATCCTTTTTTCTTAACTTTTTCTATCTTTACGAAGTAATAATGTATAATTTCTGAGAAACTTCACACTGTTCTTTTAAAGAATACTATCTGTTTTCATAAAGTCACATTTAAATTTGTGAATTCGTTTTTGTTAAAGTCGAGAAAAGAATCTAACAATAGCTTACTTAAAGATCAATATACGCATTATATTAAAAAAGAAATTGATTTGAATGACATGAATGTTATCGTTTTGAATTTAATACTAAAATTTACATCAGTAGAAATTAACATATATCAGTAGTGTCTTAAAATTAATAAGGAAATCTCTCACTGCCATGCTTACAGGTGTGTCTGACATCTTGCTGTCCAAGGGAGTGCGCCGTCTACATAATATATAAAGCTTTACCTCTCCGTCCAGGCATCGCCACTTCGCACGAGTTAGTCAGCAAGTGCAGCATTTCTTACGCCTGTTGTGAGCAGCCTTGTTGAGTGGGTGAAAGAAAACTTTGGGTTTGGACTTTTAGGAAGACTTCTCTGTAAAAATTGTGACATGTGTCGAAATATCAAAATCAGAGCACTTTTGTTCTGTTTCGCCGTTGCATCCTGTTCCACTCTTCCTAAGGTGAGAATTTACTAATATAAACTTGCAATTTTCTACATTCTGGGTGGAAATTTTGTTATAGGTACTAAAACTTTACGTTTTATTATAAAGTTTATCAAACAAATAAACTAGAAAATTTTATCTTAAATGTTTAAAAAAATAAAATTTTCTATATATTTAAATAGCAAAAATTGATTTTATATACCTATAGATACTTTCAAGAACAATTTTTCATTAAGTTTGAGTAAACGATTTTTCTCGTTATGTTAAAAATTAAATGACATGCTGTCATTCTGTGTTTTATTTTTAGTAATCTAATTATTCTTATTTTAAATATGCTATTAAGAAGGCCCTATATTTAAAGACGTTAAATTTTGTAACTATATTCTTAAAATATTAAGTAATATCGATTCACAAAAGTTTCCAACTATCATTTACTTTAACAGAAAGGTATTATTAACCTTAAGCTAATTTTTTAAAACCGTATTAACGATTTTTATGTTATATACAAAAAGGTTTTATTGAGATAAAATATAATTTAGACCTTCGTTTTAATCTATTCAAAACTATTCAAGTTACAAAACAAAATTATTTATTGATTTCTTAATGTATCGATTATTATAGAATTTTTTAAATCTATATATTGGAAAGCAAGTTCCTTATAACTGTAAGAATCTTAATAATTTCTGAAACTAGTTTATTCGAGTGGCTGTCGTTTAGCGGTGACGGCAAATTTGCAAAGTATGCAATTTTCCAAAAGAGGATAAAACAAACATGAACAAATAAGCACAACAAGCACTTTAAAATGCCTTAGAGTATGTCAATGTATTAAATGTAAAAATTGTTTTTTTTTATATGATCTTGGATTATTATATTACTTTAATTAATCCTCTTTTGTTTTTTAAAAATGCTCTCATAGTTATTTAAAACTGTTAATATTTGTATTCATTTCTGAATTATTCAAAACAATTTTAAACATGAAATGCTATTCGAATCATTTCATAAATGCGAGTTGCTTGTTAGATGTTTAAATTTATCGATAACAGTAATAAATAAATGTAACGTAGTAGTATCATATAATATATATTATATATTATATATTATATCGTTTTAACTGAATAATTTTGAAAAAATAAAATTAATACTTGATTCACTTACTAAGTATGAGTCAAGAAGTTTCAAAATTATCGTAAAAATTTTACATCTTTAGTGTTAATGATATAGAATTAATATTTATACAAAATATTATATTCGCCTAAATTTATTGGTAAATTAAAAATATAAAGGTATAAAGTTCTCTTGATAAATCAATTTGTTAAAAATAATTGCTTTTAGTCATAACAGTCATGATAAATTATCATTAATAATCGAAAGTATAATAAAAAACTATTTCCTGTTTTTCTTCTATAATAAAATTACTTGCTCTTTTGCTAATGGTAACTTCTATTTTTAAAGTTAAACTTAATTAAGTTTATGAAAAGTTAATTTAGCATTAAACTTTTCGGCTTGTGATCTTAATTATTACAGGTCTATCATCTAAGAGTTTACTTTGAAGAAAACATAAAAGAGGAGTCTTTAAAATAGAAAAAATATAATATATATGATAGAAAACTTAATTTATGAACATTACTGTGTATAGATGTAAAATTACACTAACTTCTAATAATTTTCAATCTTAATATTTAAAATTATTTGATTTGAATCTAAAATACAAACTATCAATATTTATTTTTATTCAAATCTGTTTTATTTTTTATCTGTTAAATAAATTTTTTATCATAATAAGAATCGAAGAACTTTGCGAATAGATCCACTGCTCTATCAATAAAACTCAAACATTTAAATTAAATTTTAGGATTTGGTGTAGATAAATTTATGATTTGAATCGTTCACTTTAAAATATAATCGAAACCACCATCTATTAAATTTATACAAATATAACAATTTTTAAATAAAATTGAGGAAAAATCAATTTCGAAGAGAAAAACATTACATTTGTCATCTGCAGTTGACGTTTCTTTCATAATAGTTATTCGTAAGTGGAAAATGATATTTCATAAAAAAAAAAAGGAAACATTGATTGATTAATCATGTTGTACAAACAACTTTCGGAAATGATAGAACAGAAGGCCAATTAACGCCCACTATTTACTCTTTTCGATTTATACCTGAGTGAATTGTTTTAACAAGACGGGCACAATAAAGTTGTCCTGGAAACGTGAAGATCAAATGATATATAATAGCAGAAAATTTTGTTGTTAAAAATAAATATTGATCCTACCCAAAAAATACCGCAAAGATAATCTGAATAGTAATTAAACTGTTTTGCATTAAAAATAACCTCAAGAAATTTTTCAATTACATCCTTATAGTTTTATTTTTCAAGTAGCAAGAATATTTCTAAACTTCTGTTACTAAATCATAATAATATTTTTATCTGAACGTACAATTATAATAGTTCGATCTAAGTACAATAAATGAATGTAATTCAGATATTTTTATTGTTGCATTAAGATCTGAAAAAAACAAAATAATAATAACTAATTACTGTATGTAATGCTTCAAAAAGCAGATAAAATATTCGACATTTACGTATCTAAGTTTATTATTTTTTTTTGTTATTAGTTAAGTGGTAATTAGTGCGTATTACATTAAGTTAAAAAATTAAACGCTTCAAATTGACTGAAGTACTATGTTTTGGTAATTAAATATTTCAAAAATTAAATTATCTATTAGATGGTGAAAAAATTAGGCGGTGAAAAAAATGTATCTTTGTAGTTAAATTTCATATTAAAAATATGCCTTGGAGAAAATTTAAGAAATTTTTATTTATAATGTCAATTGGATTAAATGTAGTATTGAATTCTTAAAGTTTAACAAATACTGAAAAATTTAATTTTTATTTATGATTATTACATTTAAAACCCAAATTCTTAGCATTCAAATTTCCGTGTAATGTAAATAATTTGAATTAAATAAGAATGTTTAAAAATAGTTCATCATCATTAAAATGCTAATAGCAAGAATCGAAACACTCGTTGTCAGTATAAAGTATAATTTATAGTAATATAAATTAATGATTTCAATAACGATAAACCTTTTATTAGAATAAACACGTCTTTACAATTTATTAATTATTAATTCGACTATTCATTTTATTTTTTGTTCTTTTGTTAATTGATATTAAATAAATAATCGCTTTCTCTCTTTTGGTTCATCACCAATAAAATACGTCAGATAATTGCATTCGAATATTTAATATCAATGATTCGATTTTTTTATATATATTTGTATATTTCCATTTAATTAAAAACTTAAGAAAAATTGCTTTTTTTAAAGTTTTTAAATAGAAAATGTCGAAAATACTGTTTCTTATATAAATTTATCTTTTGATTCCATGTATCAGGTTACAGATCTCCTCGGATATTATTGTTATGTTTTTCAGTTTTTAGTAGGGATTTGCTATCGAGAAAAAGTTTGTAGCTGATAAACTAAACGAAACGAAAATATCGTTATTATGACGAGGAGAAAAACTTCTACGTCACGATACAAAGATATAGGTAATAGAAATTCATTAAAGATAGAAATAAAAAAAACTGTAGTAAAGTTACACCAATAATGAAGGTGAATTAATGTAGTTTCAATAAATAATAAACATAGAGATATTTAGAATATGAACCAAACATAAGCAATTAAATTTCGATTTGTGTTTCTTATTAAGCAAAAATCCTTTTATCTTAGATATTTATTATTTATTTGTTTTTTAAGTAGCGTTTTAAATATATAAAAACATAAACTGAAATAATAAATCCATGTTTCTATTTTTTAAATTATTAATGTTTTAAAGAATTAAAATGAAAAATTTTTATATAACTATTATCTTGTTAGTATTTTATATGATTATTTTAATAACCAGTATAAAATTTGAATGGAATTTATTTGGAAAACAAACAAAAATATTATCAAATATATTCAAAAATGTTTTAAAACATACATTTTTATATTTATTTTCACAAACTTTTAAAATAAAGGCAAAATTCAGTTTATTTTCCTATTTTTTATATTTTTAAAAACAAGAATTTTACAAAATAACTTTTCTTTGATTTAATATTTTGATATTTGTTGATGTTTCCGTAGTTGAGAAATTGGAGAATTTCAAAACGTTTACATTTTTTCTCATACAAAAAAAAAAAACTTGATGAGAAGTCTCAATAGCAACTAAGTATCAGTAATTCGATGTATAGCTTTTTGAAAACAGTTTGATAAAAATGTTTTTCGTATATCCCAATACGTTACACATCTAATGGTTTGCTTCTACTGTATTGGTGTGCTTTCACTTATATTGGTAGCGGCTTTATAGTTTACAGACACGAAAACTCTTTCTGAAAAGAAAACTTGCAAAAAGCGTTTGAAGCCCATTGCATTCTGCAATTCAATATGAATAAATTCTTACTGAACAGAACTTGTCATTTGTCGTGTTTACGAAACTGAATGCATTCTTTTTATTTTTTAAAATTATTCACTAAATATAAAGTATNCCCATCGAACCTCAACGATTCTTTGTGACATTAAAAATGAGTATCGCGTGAGTCTGGTTTGAGAGTGCCTCCCCACACACTTAAATCTCTAAATATATTTATTTAATATAGAAAAGAAATAAATTAATTTCCCGATAATGCGAGAGCGAGAGTTGACATACTTTGGCACATGTTATGACAACGTTCGAAGGTCTAAATGTGAGTCGTCTGTCTTTCTGTCCAACGGAGAAGTGATGATTAGGCTGAGAGCAGATGACGACTAAGGACACATTTTGGCGGCTGGCAGGTGATGAATGGTCGACAGTTGGTCGAAGTTTTGTACTGTACATTACTCTACATCTTAGGTTCACGCTGTTCTTCTTGATTCTACTTGCATTGTCGCAACCTCTTTCTCTCCTTTTTACGAGAAATTTTCATTTGGTGGTCACATCCTGAAATATTTCAAATTTTGAGAGTGATTTTTTTTCTTTTTCCCCTGCCTGTTTAGTTTTTGATTCTTACCATGTGTCATCGGCGTATGTCATCAATATGTTGTCTTACACGGAGCTATTGTTCCTTCTTGTGACAGATGTTCTAGGTAGTTTAAAGTCAAAATATAAATTATATAACTTGCAAATACTTTGGACCGTCCAAAACGATTAACTGAATTGCATATTTATCTATAGAAGGCATTGTGAAGTTATAATCAAGTTAATAATTTCGTAATAATTTTTATTTTAAGATATTTTATCATTACATAAATTTCTTTCGAATTTTTCGTTTAAAAACTGTAAATAACTCGATTAATTTATGTTATTTTCAAGGTAATTTTTTTAAATTATGGCTATTTTTACCTTTATTTAACATAAATAGTTAATTAATGAAACTAGCTTTACTACGAAGGTTCTTTAGGTAGAAAAAGACTGAAAAGAGCAGGTAGAAAAATTTAAAATTTATAAATATTGATAAAGAAACAATCAATTTTCAAACAGTTCTAGAAATAATTATTCTCGCTATTCAGACCTTTGAGAAAATATATTTAATAATTTAATTAATTTAAAATTTTATTACAAATTTCATTTTAACTTCAATCGAAATTCATTAAATGATGAAATAAATAATCGAAATTTGTGGCTGGATTTGATCATATTTCATGAAAGAAAAATTTTCCACGATTATAATTTTACATATGATAAATAAGAAGGATGAAATTTCTTGTAAAAAATTAATTATAAACATAAAAAACATTTGTATAAATCTTATAAAAAATTATTATGAGACGATATTTAATAGAAACAATCTATTTTAACTTATTTTTTAAGCTTTTTTATGGAGTAATTTAAGAATAATTGACTTTAAAAGTTTATTATTTTTGACAAACTTCAGAAAGTTTAACATAAAAATAAACTCTACATCCTATTTTCAAGATTAATTTCTCTCTTTATTAATAAGAAATCTGTAAGTCCTAATGCTTCTTTCGTGTATCAAAAATTAATTTATTCTCTGATATTGGATTTACACATTGAAAATTTTCTGTTTCGGAAATAAGTTTATTCCTTGCAACTTTAAAATAATTATATAAGGTAAGTTTAATCTTATTATCCTTTTCTTCAGTAAGTTACGAATGTTTATCATTTATTCTTATTTATTACATAAGACATTATAGTTATCTTTAATCAAATTATTTTTTCACGAGAAATGCTGTCTTGTTGCCAACAAATAACACAGATTGTAACGTAGATCTATATATTTCATGAACTCAGACTCTTTGTTTTCATATTTAAAAAGGAGTTTCTTTTATAAAAGCTATTCTTAATTTTTTTTACTGTGTTTATTAAATGAATAGTGTAAAAGCTGTAATATTCTCCCTAATGAATTTTGATAATAATTGCTAATTACATACAATTTAAGTTATGTGAGTTTTATCAGAATTTCTTAAAGCAGTGATGCCCTGGTCGAACATTAGATTCGTCATTTATAAATGATAGAAATAATTTTTGTTTGAACAAAAATTATTGGAATATACAAAAATATTTGTGGCCTGCTTACTTACAGTTTATGCGTAATTTGTCTCACCAGTTCAAAATTTTGGACACCAGTCTAACGTATTATTTTCAATTTGCCAGATAATATGTTCGAATTTCACTTTGGGCATAGATAATTGTTTGTTGAATTTGGATGAAATTTTTATTTAAAGAAGATAGTACTGTATCCATATAGTAGTCTACATATGGCATTTCTCCTAGTTAAATTAATAAGTATAAATATGAAAAATTTTTTATATATATATTTTTTCGGATTTTTATTACTTTAATTAATTTTGAAATTTCGTCAAAAATTTAACTTTTATAAATTTTATGTAATATATATAATAATAAATTTCTTTATCTATTTGTACGCTCTTAAATGCCGAAATAAAATTTATTTTCTCATCTTTCATCAATCTCATATAAATTTAATTTTATGATTATTATTTAATTTATTTAAACAACTCATATTATGGATTAGTTTTGTGATAACATATAGAAAACCTCACTTAGTGGACACCTTCCGGGTTTAGTTTCTGTCCACATAAGTCAGGTGGCCATCCAAATGGGTTCTGAAAAAATCGACATACAAAATTGTAATTAGAATAGGCCTACTGTACCGAATCCTGCTGAAAGTTTTATACAGATTTTCTAAACTCTTTCCGCCCTGTGGGCACTAAGAGCAAGCCCGATGATGAAGGACGAAGTTAGATATATCCGAACGGATCACTCCCGAAAAATTCCTGTTTTTTTTGACACGCCCACGTTCGAACCTAGATTGATTTATATTAAAACATGCAGTTATAGGGGAATTTCAGGAGTGGCCACAAAGCGAGGTTTTACTGTATTTATTTATTTATACAGTATATGCTCTGCTTAACGGTAGACAAAAATCCTAAAGTATTTATAGAATATTTTAAGATTTTATTACTTTCAAAGCATTAAAAAATGAGATAGGATCTCATTTAAATTCTATTTTATATCAGAAAATAGAAATAAATAATTTAAAATGTTAGTAGTAAATAATTCTAATAATATAATGGTTTTATTGAAAAACTGTTTTACTAAAATTCGGAAAACGTTTTTCCAATTTCTTGAAGTTTCTTTTGACTGTCCTTTCTGCATGTCAAGACTTGTAATTTAAATCTTATTTTGTTCCATTATCTAAATTAGCTATAATCTGTATAGTCTATGTAAAATTGAATTCACGTATGTCCGTCTTTCTGTCCGTTTGTTCGAGTATCACGTGAGAACGTCCTAATCCTTCTCAGGCTATAAAATATATTTATAGTAAATTTTAATGTAAAATTGCTTTTTGTAGAATCTATTATAAGTTTATTATAAGTATGTCTATATATTTTTTCCGTATACGTATACATTTTTATATGTGTGTATCTTATATTAGTATATTACTTTACTTAATATATCATTTTTCGAGCGAAGTGGATTCCTCGGTTAGTATTTATTAAAAATCTGATAAATTTACTCCAACATTAAACTAAGATTTTTTTTAAATTATTTTTTGTCTAGCACTTACTTATTTATATGTAGATTTTAAATATGATTTTATAAATATTATTTAGATTGTTAAAAATAAGTATTGCATATTCTCACTTAACAGCAATTGCAATTGCAGTTTCTAAATATGATATATACGTCATCGATGTTGACGTATATATCATATTTAGAAACTTATATTTTTCATTAATTAGAAAGAAGCGTTTTAATTTATTAGACTAGCTTGCGAAACTTTACATTACGAAGGTAATCAAAAATAAAACATTCATTCATTTTTCCATTACAACCTTGTTATCACAAAAGTAAGGACACATCATATTGAATTACATGTTATTATAAACAATAAAGTCATAGAATGCGATGCTATTACCTAGGTAATATGATGTAAAGAGACAAGTAATCTTTCTGATAAATCAGGTTAGCGAGGAGAAGAAAGGAGATGGTTTCTCGTCTGAAGATAAAAAAATTATATCAGAGATCGTTTCTGATAACCAATTATTGCTTAGTCGTAGTAAGCAAAACTTCTCTTGAAAAGAAAATTGTTTATTCTTTCATACTTGACATGATTGAAACTATTCGCCTAACTTGTACATAAAAGCAGATTGAACCATATTCTAAAGTACATAAAAATTTTTGACTGAAATTGAATTTCAAATTCTGTAAGTCGAACTGAAGAAGATGGATTTTTCCTTCTTTTGTTTCGTTTATTTTGTGATTTAAAGCTTGAGAAATCAAGTATGTAATGTAAACATTCAAAATTTTGTAGGATTGACGTTTAGAAATTTATCTATCGGAATCATTATATAGCTCTTTAAAAACTTCTTTTTATGAAAAAGTTTGAAAAATTAATTTTAGTAGAGAGAAAATTTACAAAAATAAATACATAAACATAAAATTCTTAACGGCGAATTTGATTTTTATAAAAAAAGGAATTTATTTTTTTCACCTCAATAGCTATAAAATTTACTTTTAATAAGCTGAATTTTCTCTAATTTTATAAGTAATATATGTCAACGAGTTAATTAGAAACAAGAATGTAATAAAAGCTGGATATAAAATTAATAAACAAAAGAGTATATCTAAACTCTTGCAAATTTAAAACTTATAATATATACATATAATAAACTTGATGAAGAAAATAAATTAGAATAAAACAATAGAAAAAATAACGTAGAATTTTCTTTTTCATTTAGCAGAATGAAATAAAGAGAAGATTAATAAGAGAAGCGAGCTACGATGATGGCATGACATTAAATTTTGATCAGTCAGGAAGTGAGTCAATTTTTGTTTATCCATAATTAAAAGTTATTGTTCCTTTTAAAATAAATTTATAATTTTTTTTATTTTTTGGAGAAAAATTAGTCTCCAATTTCATGTAAGTATTATAATTTTCTAAATGTAAGTTTATTGCACAAGTCACTATAAATAGTAGTCATTTATTTATTATATCAGATTTATATAATAATAATTCATTTAAGAAATAAGAAAATGATATAGAAATTATGTAAGAGTTTTTTCATATAATTAAAACCTGTTTATACGTATAACAATAAAGAAAACCCAAATGTGTAAAATATACAAAAGAATATACCAACTACATTAATAATCCTTTAAGAAGATTTAAAACTTTTAAAATGTGATATTTTTATGCTAATTTTAAAATATTGAAATTAAATTAAGATACATTTTTCATGAATTATTTTCATTAATAATGTTAAAAGAGTAAACATTTTACATCAAACTAAAAATAATATATATTATATATATACTCATTGGCAAAATAAAGTTACGCATCCTTAGATAGAATGGCACAAAACTCGGCACTAAGCTGTGTTAAGTATGTATATGATTACAGTCGTAGTCCGACTGTATGCCAGGCAATGATACCAGAATGTTTTAAATCGCTACCTCAGTACTGTACCTAATGAATAGGCTCTCACATGATCACTGCTCAGAATTAGGGCTGTGCCGTACTATGATGCAGAGATGCGGCCGCATCAGGCGGCATAAAAAACATTTAAGGGGCAGAATTTCAAAGACTTGCATCATACTTAGAAAATCTACCGCACGGCCCTGCTCAGAATTTCCAGTGTATCAGTTGTTTGGAATCTTCGAACGCTGGACTTGTACGACACAAAGACATTAAGCTTAGCTGACGCACTTTGATAAAGACCGCATTATTGGGCTAGGACAGGCAAGATAGCCATTTCGTCGAATTGCGCTTAATCTGTGCCGTTCTGATTTGACCATGAAGAGGTGTTGGTACAGAGACACATGAGGGCATGCACACAAATGATCATGTATGTGTGCTCTCACGTGTTATTCGTACTTGTCTCACGAGCAGCTGCAACGACGTCTTATCTGTCATCGAGAGACAGGTACAAGCATCGCTACAGAACCGTATCTCTTTCCGTACCATACGCAGATGACAGACAGCGTTACAGCGTTAAGAAAGGAATGGCTGGACTCGGAGGTATAGCCATTTAGACAATAAGAGGAGGGAAGAGTATAGCGTGGGGATGAGTAGATGAAGATTAGGGAAAGGGAGATAGGAAAGTGGAAAGGAAGCAACCATGGGAGGCCCATGAGGACGAGCATCGCATTGTTTAAAGAGATAACAAAATACAATTACAATCCAGGTACAATAAATGAGGTACTTAGTGATAAAATTCGCGACAAAATGTTTTACATGAAAAGAGTAATACAATAAACGTACAATGAACATTCAAATAATAGTAAACAGAGATAGGTGAGTCATAACTATTTACAGGGCTGGCCGTGGGCCAGAAAACGCAGATGACAGACAAATTTTTATACACGTCGATCGCTACGCCTTGTGTCATTAGCATCCCAACATTGTCGGCTTCGTTTGCATTAGAATTGTGATAGAGAAGCATGGACTGGCAGCATATCACAGACTGGCAGACTGGCAGCATATCACTTTTAGCGATGAATTTCTGTTCAATGTAAGAACGGACATCTGTGTTAGAGGGTGAAGGGAGGACTGCTGATGAGCGCTTAAATTCTGTTTTAATTGTTGAGCGGCGCACAGTTCACTGATGGAGTGCTGGGCTATTATCTCGTATGACAGCCGGTCACCCCTAGTGAGAAGGACATTAACGGCTTAGTAGTATGTTCAGGAAAACCTGTGCCCTCATATGTTGCCTTTCTTGACGAGGTAACTTGACAAACAGACATTTTCTGGCAAGATAATGCTCAGCCGCACACAGCTAGGATTTCACACGAATGTCTTCGTCATGAATATGACTTTTTATCAATAAGTGTATTGTATATATAAAGAATACATATTACATTTTTATGTAATATGTCTTCTTTTACGATGACATATTACATTTTTATGTAATATGTCATCGTAATTTACTTAAATTATTTAACGTTTTTATTATAGAACATTTATATTTAAATAAGTAATACCTTAAATGTGACAAATTTGTTAATAATTTTTAATAGAAAAAATAATTGTTTAAATATTTTTAATGAATTTCTTAAAGCACATTTAATAAAAATATTAAAAAATATTTAATAAAATTAGCATATAAATTAGAATTGAAAATGAAACATTAATTAAATCTACACATAGTTAAAGATTATTCATTATTTCAGTACATTATATAAACATTTTATATAAGAGAGAAAAGTAAATTAAATTACTTCACATAAAAGTTTTGAAGTTTCATTAAATTATTAACTTTCTCTGCCGTCGAAATTTTTAAATGAAATTAAAATATATTAATTTACAAAAATATATTATCCGAAAGAAAGTTTAATAAATAATTTATGAGTTCAAAATTGAATAAAATCGTAAACATCATGTAATATCTCTTTCGAGAAATAAGAATCGTTAATGGAAAACCATAAATATGTAAAAGAATGTTAGCTGATGCAGAACCAAGGAAAACAAATTAACTGATAAAAGGTTGTATTCTCGCTACTCTAATAGAAAAGTTATACAATAGTTTTATATTGTTATATAGATAGCCAGTTTTTGGTAATTTAAATTTCACAGATCGAATTCACATTCACCCGAATGCCATTTTACGTAAATAGTTTTAAAAACATTCGATATGATTATCTACAATCTGAAGTGAATTCCTCAATATCACAGATTTTAAACTTCTCAGTCTATGTATGTTATGGAAATATGAAGAAATTCTATTTTTAGAAATAAGGATAATATTGAAGTCATTATTTTTCGATATAATCTGTAAACATTAACGTTCACATTATTATTATTTTTAATGCATAAAATACAATTAATAGTGCATTTTAATTACGTTAGAAGTGAAAATGGCTTCATAAAAATTTTAATTAAGTGTGAATTTTTATGTTTTACATTGCATGATTAAATTAATTTGATTCATGCGTGTACAGTAGTTAATTTTTAATAGTTTGTTTATGACTTTTAAATAGTGTTTCAAAAGTAAAAAATACAGCCTGTTTTTAGAATAACTCTATTCTAAAATAAGCCAGATAATTCCAGAATAACTGAAATTTAAACGATAAATTTTAATAAAATGCAATTTAAATATGTAATCCTCTTTACTTGAAATTAAAAATAATTACAAACATTTATATACGCTAAAATATACAGTACCCATTTTAGCCCATAGGTTATTTAAATTAATTTTTTNGATTTTTGTTAATTTTCAATATTTATTTGCATAGTTTGTTACATAAAGGTTTTTTCAATTTATATGATGTTTCTTTGCAGACACACTAAGGTGACATATATCAACACTTGGCAACTTATTGACTATTTATTCAGTTGGTCAATAAGTTGCCAAGTGTTGATATATGTCACCTTAGTGTGTCTGCAAAGAAACAGCTTAATAACAACAACACGGTTTCATCAGAATCAAATGATATACAGTAAAGTATCATTAACGAGTTGCATTATCCCATTTTACAGATTTTGAACTCGTACGGATATCTTTTAAAATAAAAAAATGTCGCTCGTATAGAAAAATTGCTGTTATGAACTGACAAGACATATATAAATTATATCAAAAAATTTTTGAAGCATGAAAATTTTCAGATGAAACTAAACTTTAAAACTTTTTGAGCGATCGTAAAAATCCCGAAATCGATATCTTGTGTTCCAAGTATTATGATGTAATGTTGCAATTTATATTCATATCACTTAAAGGACATTTACTTAATGGTTAAAAGAATTTTCGACATCGTTTACGCTTAACAGAGTTTCTATATCAAAAAGGGGTGAAATTTCCGAAATCGTTAAATTTAATGCGGCAATTGTATGTTCATTCACAAATCTTTTAAACTAATCTTCCCCTCTGTTTTTAATAAATATCGAATAATAGTGATTTCCATCCGATACATTTACGTTTATATAATTATAAACTTATTTAGATTCAAAATTTATCTGTGATAACATATTTATCAATTCTATAAAGAAAATTATTTTTGATGATAGACTTATTTCTCGAGTATTGAAAAATTGCTCGATGATCGAATTTTCTTGTAATTTTCCATTGAAACTGCGAGTTTTTGCGGTGAGTATATAAGAACGCAGCCAGGTCGAGCGGTTGGCCCATCGAACCTCAACGATTCTTTGTGACATTAAAAATGAGTATCGCGTGAGTCTGGTTTGAGAGTGCCTCCCCACACACTTAAATCTCTAAATATATTTATTTAATATAGAAAAGAAATAAATTAATTTCCCGATAATGCGAGAGCGAGAGTTGACATACTTTGGCACATGTTATGACAACGTTCGAAGGTCTAAATGTGAGTCGTTTGTCTTTCTGTCCAACGGAGAAGTGATGATTAGGCTGAGAGCAGATGACGACTAAGGACACACTTTGGCGGCTGGCAGGTGATGAATGGTCGACAGTTGGTCGAAGTTTTGTACTGTACATTACTCTACATCTTAGGTTCACGCTGTTCTTCTTGATTCTACTTGCATTGTCGCAACCTCTTTCTCTCCTTTTTACGAGAAATTTTCATTTGGTGGTCACATCCTGAAATATTTCAAATTTTGAGAGTGATTTTTTTTCTTTTTCCCCTGCCTGTTTAGTTTTTGATTCTTACCATGTGTCATCGGCGTATGTCATCAATATGTTGTCTTACACGGAGCTATTGTTCCTTCTTGTGACAGATGTTCTAGGTAGTTTAAAGTCAAAATATAAATTATATAACTTGCAAATACTTTGGACCGTCCAAAACGATTAACTGAATTGCATATTTATCTATAGAAGGCATTGTGAAGTTATAATCAAGTTAATAATTTC